AGCTCCCAAACATGGGTTTTCATTATCCTGTCAGTTCCTTTGTCTAAAATGTATAAAAGCTGCAGGCCTTGGTCATTTCTTTGGATCTCAGTTTTATCATTGGTCTTCCTTGTGCATGTAATTTACCTTTGTGTTTTTTCTCCTGTTAATCTGTCTCATATCAATTTAATTCTTAGACCAGCTAGAAGAACACTGAAGGTCAAAGGAAAATTTTCTCCCCACTAGCTGCTTATCATGATCCAGAGATATAGTGCACTGCCCTTCATCTTCTATAGTAATCTAATTCTTTCTGGTATCAAATAGTAGGGAGAAACAGGAAGCCGGGGCATAATGGTGATTTTATATATACAATGACCCTCCCATGACACAACAGTTCTAATCTATCACCTCTGTTAAATCAAGCTCTTTGAGTAGAAGTCCGATATAAATTTGTTAGTTATATGTAAGTTTCAAACTGACACAGAGGAAATATATATATACTATTACCTCTATCACTGAAACAATGTTTTGCGTCTAAGTCTCATTATCTTCCTTTTGCATAATGAAACTGTTCGATTCATTTTAAACTGAGTGTGTGTCCATGCCTGTTTGTGTGTATGTGTATGTGGGAGCATGGATTGGCATAGAGAATGTAGCAGGAAGATAAAACATAAATAAATGTTCTATCCTCCCTGTTCCATCCAAAGAAAGTAGCCAAAACCATGTTCAAGAAAGAAGTGAGCTGGCATCCAAGAAAATTTCATAAATGTACAATTCCTTCAATTCAGCAAATATATTACCCAGTAACAAAAATGGCAATATTTTATGCTTATATTTTAATATTTATAAAGCTCTTTTAATATGTTTTCTTATAAAGTAGACATGGACATATAAGGAAAACAAGACTCAAAGAATTTTTTATTTTATGTTTACCTTTCTTTCCAAAATGAATTCAAGTGTGGATATAATGATTTCCTCTAAGGCTTCATGATAGAAAGCTGTGTAAAGAAGCCTGGTTTACTGACTCACAGTTTTGGTGTTAATTTGCATGACATCATGCTTATCGTGCTGGCTAGGATATAAATAATGATAAATTCTTGGGAAATGTATGTTACACCAGTTAATTCTATCTTGTGTTATCATTATCCCAAGAGGGTAAAATCTGGCTTTTTAGGTATAGGTACGTATGTTGTGGCAATGAAAACACAAATGTGTTATCATATCATAGGCCCTTTTGAAGTTCATAGACAAAATTAATTATACATTTCTACTTCATTTAAATAAAATATCAAGTTGTCTACTACTTTTGGAAGAATTGTACAGAAAAGTGTAGTTAGAGTATAAAGATAATCACTAAATCCAATGTAGGATCAAAACCATCATATAACTCACTGGGAAATGCTTTAAATCTTTGAATTGATCTAGTAGTAAATATTTTTCCCCACGGATTGCTTTTTCTCTAACACAAACATCAAGCAAGTTTTATGACAAAATTATTTTTGGTCATAATTTCAAGTGTGCTTTCCTTAAATAAGTTTGTGTGAATGAACTTGTGTAATTCTTCTTGTGTAAATTATATTTGTCATAAACAGTAAACATTTTTTACTACAAAGATTTTTCACCAAATATTTACCAATTACACAAAAAGAATACTTACCTTGAATTAGTCTTACATAACAATGGCTTTGTGTTTATGTGGAGATAAATAATGTTTATCTTTATAGAATAGATGTGATAAATCATATTCTAGTGACAATTTTTGGAATTGAAGGTTAGTAGAAGACTTATTTTGAAGAAGAGATAGGGTCTATTTTAAAATGGTACCAGGAAAGTGGAAAAATCAGTTGGATTTACTACAAAGGTACATTTGGCTTCCTAAGCCAAATAAAGCCACAATTAGGCTTTATTTAATCACATTTTCACCCTAAATATCCCTTATGTAACTTTATATCAAAACAGGGAACTACTTTGCAATCTCTTTTTATTTTACAAATATTATATAAATGAATGTGTGTAAGCCTCACTGTTAAACATTTTAAGTCATCCTATTCATTTTTATTATTGCGTGTGTTCCTCTTTGACTAGTTTACTACACAGATGATAATTTTTCATTGCTTTTTCTTTTTTTGAAGTCTTCTTCAACACATTCTTTTTCATTCAAAAATTTTCCTCTTCCCTTAAACTTAGCATATACTTAATTTCTGTACTATTGTCCAATATGCATTTAGTATATTTAGTTAGTGCACTGGTAATCATTGGGGTTACAAAGAAAACATATATTCCTGCTTTCAGTGGTTTCCAATGATCTCAGTGAAGAGTGTTTTGCTCTTTGATGATCCTTCCTTTAGAGTCTCTCGGGCAGTACAGCTTTCTTCACACAAGTTTTCAGATTCATTCTAGTCCAGAGTGCTGCCCACCCTGCTACTCCATTTAGCAATTATCCAGTACCTCCCAAATGTGTAGGTTCAATGACATCTGAAGATTCAGCTTAAACTAATCTTGTGTCTCCTACAGGCCTGGAATTCTGCTGAATGCCATGTTATAACACAATAAATATGTGCAAAGTGACATATCTCAGCTATGTTTATCTTTTGGTATCATCAATGGGCTTAAACTGAATCAATTAGTTTTTTCTTAATTCTCAAAAGTATATACAAAAATTTAGTCATTACTTGAAGTCTTGACAAGAAAAAATCAGATAACATGGAAAATACATTTTCAGGTTTTCTAAATGAAAAATCAACACACACATATATAAATTTTATCTCTAAATACTTTTTCCTCTGTCTTTATAAACATGTATTTCTATTCCTGACACCTACTATATGCCCAAATATGAAGCTTTGGTGACTCTCCTGATCCAATTTTAATAGGCTGAGGAAGAACATTTATAAAATAAATGAAATGAGTAGAAGTTGGATTTGAAGGTGGGGATACTTACAAAAAAACAGTCAATGCACTCATGCATGTAATTATTTCTCAGCCTTTAAAATACAGGCACTCATAAGGGTAGGGAAAAATTGCTCTAAGGCAGTACCAACAATGTATTCAAAGACAGCATATCAAACTATGGTTTATATATTAGCATGTGAGTTGTGGTAAATGATACTTGAAATGTCAATGTATTGAGAGTAATGACCTATTTAGATCTGTAGGAATGAGAATTTGCAGTATTTTTCTCAGTTATATCTACATACCTTATTAAAACAACTCATTGATTTAATTCAAAGATTCAGAGTATTATGTCACATTTATTATTTCAAAAAAATCTCTTTATGATTCTGATTTGTCTGTATATCTGTTTGAAAGCTTATATCTATTGCCTGTTTCAAACTTCCAAAATTAAAAAGATTTTAATGAGACCAATAGATACAGCAATTAAAACATATACATCCATCTGGTAAATATTCTGGGAATTAGGAATTCCTATTGTACATATTTATGAGTTTAGTTTTCATTTCTTCTCCTTCATTAGTGTTATAATTTTTTTAATTATTTCTACTCACTTTGTTCAAAAAAAGTTGAGATTTTTAAAATAGGTGTTCCTTTTTTTTTTTTAAAAGATTTTATTTATTTATTTGAGAGAGAGAGAATGAGAGATAGAGAGCATGAGAGGGAAGAGGGTCAGAGGGAGAAGCAGACTCCCCGCTGAGCAGGGAGCCCGACGTGGGACTCGATCCCGGGACTCCAGGATCATGACCTGAGCCGAAGGCAGTCGCTTAACCAACTGAGCCACCCTTCCTTTTTTATGGTCATTGTTTAAAGTTCTATAATGGCTAATTGAACATAATAAAAAAATAAAGTTCTGTAATAGCAATTTATTAACTGTTAATTCAATAAGTAAATATAAATGAAATTTGCTTAGTTAAAATTCAGTAACGTAACTTCTTGCTGATATCTTAAAGACTACCTGGCAAAATTCTGCTATCAAATACCACAAACAATGGATGATACTTGAAAACCTTTTGTAATAGTAATGGGAGCACTTTTTATACTGCATCTCCCAGTGGATTATCTTGGATTCATTACCAAAACTTTTATAAAATAAGACAGACCCATGGGGAGAGTGATCCACATATACTAAGACTGTCAGGCATTGTGGTAGGAATTTCCACGTATCTTGACCCTGTTAATCTTCACAATCACATGAAATAACCATTATCAGCTATTTTTGCCTCTCTTAAAGCTTGAATATAGGGATATTTTATCAGCTTTATATTTTCATTATTGGGAGTTGATTATTTAGGAAGACACTCAATATATATGTGTACACATATACATGATTGTATAAAAATGATTCACAAAGCATTTGATTTGCCCAAATTCAGAGTTAATTAAATGCAAATCCAAGTCTTCCTAACCTCAGAATGTATATAAACCTCCTTACATGGTACTCTTAATGCTAGTTTTCAAGGTAAGAATATTTTACTATGTGTTCACATATAATTATCCAGAGTTGTGCTGTCTCTGGATTATAAATTAAATTGCATGTGTAAAATAAATAAATATTATTAATAGTATGGGTTGATGCCTGCAGAAAAAGAGGATAAACTTCTTATCTTAAATTATTTGACACATGCCCTAAGTGATAGGGGCCAAATAGACCCAAGGCAGCTATATCAGTTTTTCCTGAACTAGGAAAGACTGAGAAGGACAAAAATATTATCACTTTCAGACAGTAAAAATTCCTTCATATCTTCTGTTAATGTGTGACATATACTAGCTACTTGGTGGAAGATTGCGGTTATAATCCTTGGATGACTGATGTAATTGAAGAAACTCACATTATCATTAAGACTCAAAGATGCATTTTGTCTAATTAAATAATCTCTCTTTACATATATTCTGCATCTTCTTCCCTAATTAAAAGTCAACATAATGTTCCCAAATTGGCACAGCGAAAACAATGACACTATGAGAAAAAACAATATGGACATTTGAATTTACACAGGTACATAGTTCATTTTGAAAATCAGTCACTTACCTTATACCTTAAAAGAGAAGTATCAAAATATTCTTACCTTAGAAAACTGTGCATTTATCCATTTTGTGAATGTTTTCTTTTGAACATCTTCTCTTTCATCTATAACGTAAAATTTAAAAAAGATTCAAGAGTTAAGAAAGAATTCTGAATATCATATTTTAAACCAAAATAACTCTCAATTATTTCATATCGTTATTTCATATTTGGTATTAAATTCATTGATAATGAAATTAAACATAAGTGATATTGGTATTGGGCATCTAAACTAAAAATGAGATGTCTAAAATAATTGATACAGTCAAATCTATGCTCATTCAAATATTATATAAAGGCATTACAGAAAAGTAGTCTCATCTGAATAAAGGCAATATTACTTCTCCTCCTATGGTGAATAGATACTCTAGCATAATCAGAAGAGCCTATTATCTGTTATTTCTTCTGAAAAAGTATTCCTGAGGTTTTCGTCTTACAGCCTTCCCAGTCCATGTAAAAATGATTTTCCCCTCTTTTGCAATACCTCCATACTCTAACATGGGCCCCCAGCATAACCTCCTCCCATTATAGGAGAGGTTTCCTGATGATCAGGAGCATGGTTTTGCATCCCAGAACCTAGCATTGTCTGCACAAACTAAGAGTTCAGCAAATATTTGATAAACATGCAAATGCTTTAGAGGAGGGGGGATCTTACAACTCCAAAATTTTTAGTAATTCTTTTCATCCCAAAGTCAGGAAATTACAAATCAAAATGCAAATGACACCCTTCATGGATTACATATAAATACTCAAAGGAAAAATCTCCAAGGACTTACACCAAGAGATTACAGTGGAAAATTATTAAGAAACAGCTTCACAGAATTCATGCTTCTAAAAATTATCTCTTTTTTTTTCCAAGTTGGAAATTAGTATGGAGTTAAATGGGCAGAAAAATAATCAATCTTGATTAATTGAAATCCTTTTTTAAAGCCAAAGCCTACCTTTAAATTACTGTAAATGCAATCATATTAATTAATGTTCAATAAATGAGTGCATCTGAGAGAGACTTAAAATGGAGAGGTTTTATATTTTATTTACACTGAGTCAAAAGAACCCTTATGAAATGTCCTGACAAAATAACCTCATTTGCTTTCGGATTCTTTTTCAGCAGTAAATCTCAACCGCTTTTCCTGAAAATGGATGATCCGTAGTAAAGAATCATTTTCCCATGACAAATGTATCCATGTACTAAGAAAATCTGTTTATCATTAAAGCACATTATTAATCTAGAAGTGGATACTCTTAAGCGATACGGAATAACAGCAGATAAATAATAAACCTAAAACTGTTCTAGAAGAGAAAATTTTATTTAGCATCACAATATACTTTCTTCTTATTTAATTGTGTGAGTCCCACAAACTATACTGCATGTGGCCAAATATCAGCATTACCCATGCAGTACAGGATAAATCATAGCTACCATATGGAAGTTTTCTCGTTGTTGACAGTGTGAATCAATAAAAATAGATAGTAATAGTTTCTGAAACACGTCTAGACTTTTGTTAATATACTTCCCTAAATTCAATACTACCCTTTTGATAATAATAAAATAAATAAACAGAACATTTCAAATGGTCAACTTTTTAAAAAAAATTTTTTAAAGATTTTATTTATTTATTTGAGAGAGAGAGAGAGAGAGAGAGGGAGAGCACAAGCAGGGCGAGTGGCAGGCAGAAGAAGAGGAGCCCAACGTGGGACTCAATCCCAGGACCCTGGGATCACTACCTGAGCCAAAGGCAGATGCTTAACCAAGTGAGCCACCCAGGCACCCCTCAAACGGTCAACTTTTAACCATTTTCATGGACTCGCTGCAGGGAGACTTGCCAGTACATTAATTTCTCAATGATAGATACACATTTTCCTATGTTAATGATATTATTTGCAATTCCACTTATTTTTTTCCTACATGTGCATGCAAATCCTGTCAGACATGGGAGAATAAATGAGTCATTTGAAAGCATACATTTAAAGGTTGTAAAACATGCCCAATCATCTTCACCAGAAGTTGAATAGGAAGACATTTGAAGAGATGTGTTTCACATAAAAGTAGGTAGTAAAGCAATATTTTTATTGGTTTCAATTATATATACAAAGAGTGATTTTTAGATAGGCCTTGAAGGCAGGAGGGAAACCTTGACATTATATGCAAAACAGTATGTGTCTATTGTGTCAATAACACTGAAGGAGAACTTTGTCATATAAATATCTCACTAGGTCTTCTTTTTTCTTTCGCATTTAATACAATAAAAATATGCCTTTAATGAATTACCTACTTATGTATTGTTTTGCTATATAACATTTGTTTTCTTGAACATGATAAATATTAATATAACTGGCTTTATTATCATTATAAAATGTATATCATTTATTAGTGTCTTATTGTTCAGAGCTGTTTCACATGTCATCTCAACCCATAGGTAGTTTGCCATTTTATCCATTAAAAAAATACAAGCTCAGAAGGAATAAGGCTAGTATGTGACACAGATGAACCTGATATAGATTATTTGAATCAAAGTCCATGGCTTTTCACGTTAACCAGTTTACATTATATTTGCATAGATAATATGGAATGGCATAAAATAATTAAAGTCATAAAAGTTGAATGTATTAACACAAATACAAAATAACCATGATTTTAGAGCCTCTATTTTAAACCCAAGGAATTCCACGTATGCTGTAATCAATGTGAATGACATCCTGGAATTTTATAGTCTACAGCCTGCATGTCTACATGGATTTATCCAAATTTATCCAGATTGGAAAACTGAACCATCCTTAAGATGTTAGATAATTCATTTGTTAATATTTTAAATACTAATGTTCTTATATTTACTAGTTGATATTTAGTGCTCAATTTTTGCCATAGATTAACCTTATGGAAATTTTTAAATAATTAAATTCATTAATATAAAAATTAATTAATATTTTAAAAAATCACCCCAGAGTTGTGTGTCTACTCAATACAATCCCCATAAACACATATTTTACATAGCCACAATAATATTCTGCCTTTTTAAGCTTATTTTATCATAAATATCATATGGGCTACCATTTCTTTTTGTTTGCTATGAGAGATTCCACTGTAATGAACATCTTCATGCACTCTCTTTCAGTTTCTGGTGTATGACTGTCCCAGAATAAATTACTGTGTCAGCATTAAAAAAAAAAAAACAACTTTTATGGCTTTTACTAAATGTTGTCATATTGCTTTCCCAATGGCCATACCGATTTTTAGTGGTACTAGAAAGAATAAGGTTATGCTGCTGATAGGAGTTTTGCTGCTTTCATTTTTAAAGTGATTGCTGCTTTATTAGATATAAGGAGATAGTTGATGCTCATCTTAATTTGAATCTGTTTGATTACTAATGAAGTAGGACATGTTTTCAAAATTTATTAGGCAGATTTCTACTTTTGTCAAAATACTTGTTTATATCCTCTGCTCATGTATCTTTTGAGCGCTTGATATTTTATAATTAATTGGAATGAGATTATAAATCAGGAGTTCTTAAATATTTCAAGTTGTGGACTCCATTTGATTATCTGATAAAAATAATGGTCTCTCTCTATATACAAAATGCCTATGTGGACATATTTACACACAGTTTCATGGGGTTCACTGACTTCTCTGCAGAAGGTTCTATTACTATGAAATCCCAAGTTAAAAATCACTACCATAAATTAAGCTACTTGTTCTTAATCAGTGAATGAATATATATTCCCAAGTGGTCGTACTTCTTTTAATTTTCATTTCATTTTTATTATGCTAAATTTTTATGTATTTATTTTTTTAAAGATTTTATTTATTTGACAGAGAGAAAGAGCACAAGCAGGGGGAGTGGGGGAGGGGGAAGCAGGCTCCCCGCTGAGCAGGGAGCCCGCATCGGGGGCTCGATCCCAGGACCCTGAGATCATGACCCAAGCCAAAGGCAGACACCTAACAGAATGAGCCACCCTGGCACCCCGTATACTTTTATATATTTAAATCTATCTATTTCCATTATTTCTCATATAACTTAAAAGTTGACGCCTTTATTTATTTATTTTTAAAGATTTATCTATTTATTTGAGAGAGAGAGAGCGAGCGAGCATGAAGGGAACAGGGCAGAAAGAGAGAGAGAAAAGCAGAGACTCCCTGCTGAGCAGGGAGCTTGACAGGGGGCCTGATCCCAGGACCCAGAGACCATGACCTGAGTTGAAACCAAGAGTCAGACACTCAAACGACTGAGTCACCTAGGTGCCCCTAAAAGTTGATCCTTTTAAACAGTTACACATCCATAGTTAATCTAAAGCTGATACACATATACATATATGATAAATTGTCATAGAGCTTATAGAGATTATTTGAATACTTTAATAAAATATATGTAATTATAGACACACTCTCTAGTGAGAGATATGAATGTGAGACCAACAACAAAGAGAATGAGAAAAGAATAAAGTGAAATCTGTTTTACTAGGAAATGATTAGCTATATATTCTGTCTAGTCATTTCAAGAAGCACATATTCTATTTTGTTTTCTCTAGGGTTTGTTTATAACTGATTTTCTTTTACTAATAAAAATATGCCTGAGTATATTAATGTGAGAGGTAAAGAATAAAATCTCTGTTAGAAAAATTTACTTGAAAACTGTTCCCTGGAGATGTCAAGGAGTGAAGAACTACTACTTCATAAATTGCAAAAAGTGACCAACATTTTATTTTATTCTCTCTCTGAGGAAAACTCATAAAATTAGCTTTCTACCATGACATAAAAATTGTATTTCATCTCAGAATTAACCCTTTCTAGTAAAGTCATTTTTTATCCAATAAATCTGGACCTTCATATTTTCTACGATTAGTGCAATGACCTTTTGCCCTATTATTAATTTTTATATTCCTGAGTCCCTGATAAATGTAGGATAATTAAATTGCAATATTCATGATTCACAAGAGTGAGTTACTGCACAAAAATGATGTTGGCAAACTGAGAGAACATTAAATCAGGGGAACTGGCTTCCAGTCCCAGTGCAGGACTTAGAATGGTGGCCTTCGAATTGCCAGACCTCGGCCTCTTTGTGAAATAAAGC